TGTTTAAAAATCTTGGTTGTGCATGAAACATGGTTAATGCATCTCTTGTGTTTTGATACAATCTTGACTTGCACAACTTGTTGATTTTGGGACTTGGGATATCAATCAAGGATTGACATGCTAGGACTTGGTTCTAGTGTGAGGGATCGTCCCTCTACAACTATAGTGCGCACTAGGGGAAGGTACCCATGGGTTAGTAGCCCTAAAGTGATCCCAAAAGTACGGTTTTAATCCGGGCGATATCCGAGTTTCCACATTGGTTGATTTCACTCTTTAAATTTCAAGTTGCCATTCCTTGAAGATTTAAAACTTATCGTGTTATGTGAAATCCTCCAATCTTATTTCATTGTATAGATATTATGTATTATCCTTGATTTCATGTATCTTTCTTGTCTTGTTAATTGGAATTACATTGATAATGTAGTTCTTGTTAATTCATATCCGAGTATTCTTCTTGTCGTGTTAATGAGAGTGTTCCAATCTTGTTCAATTACGTTGATAATGTGATTCATGTTCAATTGTAAACTTGTCGTGTTCTTTGTATTATTCCAATCTTGTTCAATTACATTAAAAATGTGATTCATGTTCAATTGTAAACTTGCCGTGTTCTTTGGATTATCCCAACCTTGATTCGTTTCATATGTATATCATGATTCTTGTCGATTTACACTCTATGGTAGCTTAGGATGATCCCTGAGTCTCACCTTTGACATAGACGTTAGGTGGCATGACCCTTTTGAACTGTTTCATGTTAATCTAAAAATCTGAAAGAAATCGAGTCTATGTATGCTCATTTCCTACGAGTAAACTTGTTTACTCACCTCGAAATTACTGGGGGTATTTTTCAGGTACAGGATTCAAGACTTGGAGATTTCATTGCCTTGGGTCATTTGTAACTTCTTGTGGCAAAACCTGTATTTTTTTGTCTTCAACATGTAATGTGTACATAAGTACACTTTTTGTAATGTATTTAACATGTATGACATAAGGCCAATGGCCAAGCATGGTTATATTTGCACTGGTACTCATTTGGCGCCACCTTTTGCTTAAAAATGTATTTTTATCAACTTTGGAGGTTTGGCATGTCAAATCTTGTGAATGTAATGTAATGAGGCTGTAGGCCATTGTAATGTATTTAAAATACCATTTTACACTTGCGTACATGTTCACACCATCACACAGAAGCATATAATGTAAAATAATCATGCTATGGAGGATCCATTTGAGACTTAGGAACTTCTCTTCATTTTTAGTGCATAACAGGTTCATTCTTCACATTTTTGACCTATTTCGGTTGACCGGTTCTTGGTTCAATTCATTTGAACATCAAAATCTCACATTCCAGTAGCCATTTTCGCTGTTTAGGCCCAGTTCGGTTGACCGATGGCTTATTTCGGTCTACCGAAACAACCTCCCCTTAAAAACATGTTTTTAGCAAGATTTTTGCCCAGTTCGGTCATTTGAAACTCCAGTTCGGTCGACCGAAATAGCCTTTATTCAGCTGCTCTTCAGATTTTGTAACAGCACTGTTGTTCCGACTTCAAACGGTCATATCTCCTTCATTTCTAATCCAAATAGGGTGATTGTTGAGCCTAAATTCATGGATTTTGAGTCAAATTTCCAATGGTACCAATTTTATTCTCAGATTAAAATCACAGTGGGATATATTCATGTTTTAGTGAAGTAGTGTCGGGATTTAATTTGAACCAGGAAAGGGCTTCTTGTGGGATTCTTGGCCAAAGTTCTTAGAACCCCTTGGAATGTTGCAAAATGATTAGTATAGGTTGTGTGGACCTCATTTGACTTGCTTAGAGTCGAATTTCCCTTCTTGTTTGCAAATTGACCATTTTACCCTTGATTAACGGGTTTTACTCGTTTTTCTTCATCTTGTCATTTCTCCTTCGTTCGGACTCGGAATCATGCGATTCTTAAGTCCATCTTGATTAGTTTTTCATTCTATTTCCAGCAGTGTGCTCGGTGTCACTCGAATCCATGCTTTCAAAAATGACTACTTTGCCTCTAGGGGCTTAATTGTTATTTTCTCCGATCTCTTTCCTGTACACTTTGTTCCTTTGGGTTCTGTGACCTTATGGAAGGTCATCTTAGGGTTTTAGAGGTGTGTTATGCCTTGGGAGAGCATTGTCTTGCTTCGGACCTGTTTACAGGTCAGTCTTCGGGTCATCACTAACGCACCGGGTTGAATAAAAACTCGGGTCGTTACAAGTGGTATCAGAGCGTCCGGGTTTGAATACCTTACCGGGAGCAAACCTCCTGCTTAAGTTCCCAGGTAGCCTCCTCAACGCTGTGGTTTCTCCATAAGATCTTGACCAATGGAATGGTCTTGGTCCGCAAGACCTGTTTCCGTGAATCAAGAATCTGGACCGGACCTTCCTTGTAGGTCACGTCCTCATCAACAACCACATCGGTCCACTGCAGAACATGCGATGGGTCCGGCTCGCACTTCCTTAGCATAGAAACATGAAAAATGTCGTGAAACTTATCCAGGTCTTACGGCAATGCCAAACGATAAGCAACTTCACTAACGCGCTCCAAAATGTCAAATGGTCTAATGAACGTAGGAGACAACTTGCCCATCTGTCGGAATATCAGAAGTCTCTTCCGTGGAGAAATCTTGAGAAAGACATAGTCCCCTACCTCAAAAGATAAGAATCGTCTCCTCCTGTCAGCGTAACTCTTCTGTCTGCTCTGTGCGGTAACCAACCGCTACGGAATCAACTTGATTTTCTCTTTTGTCTCAATGACAATGTCGGGACCCAAGGCAATGGTATCACTGACCTGGTCCAACAAACTGGAGATCTGCAAGGCCTGCCATACAATGCCTTAAAAGGTGCCATTCTAATACTGGTCTGGTAACTGTTGTTGTAGGCAAACTTAACCAAAGGTAAGTAGTCCTCCCAACTACCACAAAATCCAAGATACAAGCCCGTAACATATCCTCTAATATCTGAATGGTGCGCTCTGACTGACCATCAGTCTGAGGATGGAATGCCGTGCTGAAATGAAGCCTTGTATTAAGAGCCTCCTGAAAACCCTGCCAAAAGTAAGACGTGAACCGTGGATCCCTATCTGAAACAATGGATACAGGAACCCCATGAAGCCTGACAATCAGTCTCACATACAGTCCACTCAGTCTCTCTGCACTATCTGTCACTGCCATAGGCAAGAAGTGAGCCGTCTTAGTCAACCTGTCAACTATGACCCATACGACATCATTCCCTGCCTGAGACCTCAGAAATCCCGTTACGAAATCCATAGTAATATGCTCCCATTTCCACTCAGCTACTGGTAATGGTTGCAACAATCCTGCCGGTCGCTGATGCTCTGCCTTCACTTGTTAACAAGTAAGGCATTGAGCCATAAACTGTGAGACATCCCGTTTCATGCCCTGCCCCTAAAACTGTCACCTCAGAATATGATACATCTTCGTACCACCAGGATGAACTGCGAGCCGAGAGTGGTGAAAATTCCAAAGAACGTCTTCACGATAAGACAAAGAAACAAACATCATCCCTTTGTACCTGAGACCACCATCTGAATGCAAGGTCTAACCCTCTACATCCTCACCGTCTGAAATTCGAATATGGATGGTTTCATCTCCCCATCCTCTAACTATGCCTCAATAACTCTACTAACAAGAGCCGGTTGATCCACTAGGCTAAATAAAATAGCCGGTGAAACATTCTCATATGACCGTAAACCAAGATCTGCAAGCTCTTCTAGCATCTTCCATCTATGAACAGAAACGCTAGCAAGAGTCCCTCGTGACTTCCAACTCAATGCATCGGCCACCATATTGGCCTTACCCAGATGGTACTGTAACTCAGAGTCATAGTCTTCCATAAACTCAACCCATCTGCACTATCTCAAGTTCAAATCCTTCTTAGATAAGAGATACTTGAAACTCTTGTGATCGAAGAAAACCATAAACTTCTCTCCATACAAATAGTGTCTCCACCCCTTCAGGGCAAAGATAACCGCTGCTAGCTCTAAATCATGTGTCGGATAGTTCACCTCGTGAGTCTTCAACTGTCGAGACCCATAAGTAACCACCCGTTCTGTCTGTATCAAGACATAACCCAGACCTTCCCACGAAGCATCACAAAAGATCACGTAACCCAACCCACGTTCAAGTTTGATCAAAACTGGAGCTGATGTCAACCTAACCTTCAACTCCTGAAAGGCAAACTCACATGCCTCATTCCATACGAACTTGACCCCCTTGCGGGTAAGTCAAGTCATAAGTGCCGCTAAACGAGAGAAATCCCAAACAAATCTCCGATAATAGCTAGCTAGGCCAACAAAACTCCGAATCTCAAACACTATCTTCAGACGTTCCCAATCCATCGCCGATTTAATCTTTGACAGATCCACCGCAACACCACCCCCTGACACAACATGTCCGAGGAACTTCATTTCTGATAACCAAAATTTGCATTTCTCGGACTTAGCATACAACTGATTATCCCTAAGGATCTATAATACTATCCTCAAATGATACTCATGTTCCTCAACCGAAGTTGAGTATACGAGAATGTCGTCGATGAAAACCACAACAAACTGATCAAGATGGTCACAGAATACACGGTTCATCAAGTCCATAAAAGCTGCTGGAGCATTGGTCAAACCAAATGGCATCACCAGGAACTCATAATGGTTATAACGTGTGTGGAAAGCGGTCTTAGATATATCCTCATCCTTAACCCTTAGCTGATAGTATCCCGATCTCAAATCAATCTTCGAAAAATAAGTTGCTCCCTTCAACTAATCAAACAAGTTGTCAATCCTAGGCAAAGGGTGCCTGTTCTTGATCGTAACATGGTTCAACTTGCGATAATTGATGCAAAGTCTCAAAGACCCATCCTTCTTCTTCCAAAAAGAACCGGTGTTCCCCAGGGTGAAGCACTAGGACGAATAAAGCCTTTAGCTTTTAAATCATCCAATTGAGCATTCAACTCATCAAGCTCTGCCGGTGCCATACATTACGGTGCCATAGAGATCGATGCAGTACCGGGAATGATGTCAATGGCAAAGACAACTTCCCGAAGAGAAGGAAACTTCGTTAACTTCTCCGGAAAAACATCCAGAAACTGCATAACAACTATTGGAAAAATACGGCCCGAACTACTGTCTTTGTCAACTAACAGGCTAGCTAAGTAAGACCTGTGGCGACTCCAGTCACCAATACTGAAAATTATCGTCGAGTGGGAATCACTCTGATCTCCGACGAAGTGAAAACAATCTCCCTTGGGAATGCAAACAGTTACCCTCCCGCAGAAGCAGTCGATCATGGCACGAAAGAAACCCGTCATGTGAAAAATGATGAAATTGAACTCTAAAGTCCGCCTAGCTATCTCGATAGCGCAACCCCGACAAACACGGTCCAAAAACACTTGACCCCCAACTAGTGTGTTAACATAAAGGAAACCATCCCACTGCGTGACCTCCAGACCCAAAGAATATGCAAATGATACAGATATAAATAAATGTGACGCATCCGTGTCAATAAGAACTCTAGCCCAAGAACTGAAAACTAGAAAGATACCTCGAACCGTAGAAGTCTCTACGGAGGTATCGGCCCATGGCAATGCGTAGACTCGTCCCTGAGCCCCTGATTGCTGAAAATTGCCCTGGTGGCCCGATTGATGTCTGGAAGCAGTAGGCGTAGAACCTGTGCCCGGATATGAACCAATTGACAGTGCCACTGGCTGTAGTGCTTGAGGCACCTTGAAACCTGACTGCATAACTGCCGACTATGCCCGTGTGGCCTGTGAACCTGCGCCACTCTGTGCCCTGGCCTGCTTTGTGGGTGAGGGCAATCCGTCCTCATGTGACCGGGCTGCTTGTAATAGTTACAAGTCCCCTGAAACCCTTCGTCGAGGCTGTAGGCTTACTAGCCTATGATTGATTGGCCTGTGGCTGAAGTTGTTATGACCTAGTTATTTTCCTTCTTTTCTTTTTTCTGAAATTTTACGGACAAATTTTTTTCGTTGAATTTTCTTTTTTGAGTTCGGTTACTCATCATTTAGTGTCGTCTCGAGTGCTCAGAAATGGTTTTCGAGACTCTTCCCTTTGGATTGACAACTTCCTTTAAGGACCGAGTCATTTCCACATTTTCATTTTTTTGACACTATTCACTTTTCGTCTTTTTCCCGATATTATTTTTCTTCGGGTAACCTCACTTTTTGTGCTCGGATTTGGTTCTGATTTTGTATGCATCCATGATATTTAAATTACATGCTTTGTGTATTTTTACTTTTTTAGAAAAGTATGCTAGTTGTTTACTTTTACGTAAAAGGGTATGGATGTATAGTTTCTTCGGAAACATTATTTGTTTTTGGGGTTTTTTCGTAATTATAGAAAGTAATTATTTTATTTCTTAGGGACCTTTTTGTAATTTATTTTGGAAGATATTTTCAAAAAGGACCTTTTTGTAATTACCAAAAAGTGTGACAAGTGTCGCATTTTCATTGGTCCCTTTGTAAGCATCTCATTGGTTCACATTTGGAAGCCTTAGATGATGACTTGTGGAGGGTGGAGATTCACCCACTTGTTGGCCTAGCATTGGTGCACTTGTTGGCTTGGATTGTTGACAAGTGTAGGCTTTAGATTAAGCCTAGAATGAACTATTGGATTAATGACAAGTGTAGGCTCCAAATTAAATTCTTGCTTTTGTGTGTGTGTAGGCATGGTGCAAGACTAGGTGTAATTGACTTGCTTTGACCAAGTGAGTGGAGGATTACACCAAAAGGGGTTAATATTTCATTTTATATGTTTTTTATTTCATCATCTTCCTCACATAAAACCTTAGCCAACATTGAAGGAAACCATTAATCTAGGCTTAAAACATTGGTTTTGATCTCCTTCCACTCACCTTAGACCTAAAAGCTTGGAACACAAAACACTTACCTCACCTTCCTCTATATAACCCTTGAAGGAAATTGTAAAATTCCTTTGTTTGCTTTTGATTCAAGAGGAACAATCCTCTTGTGAGGTAGGGAGTGATTTAGGTTTTTAATTTAAGTGTTTTAAATGTTTTTATAGCTTACAATAAATTTTTTACATGTCTTATACTTAATTTTTAAATTAATAGGTTGTAGTACCTTGTATAAAATTAAGTTAGGACATAATATTCTTGAAGGCCATGACTTGATATATAACTTGTATTAGTACAAAGTCATTTGGAGTTATTTTAGAATCTAGAGATTTAATTATTTAGAATTAATTAATTTCTATTTAATTGTTCTACTTGCTTAATTAAGTTTTTGAGTTGATATATGTGATTACCATGATAGTACCATTGACATATAATTATTTGGAGTCATTTGAAATTGATTTAAATTCTAGAGAAATTAATTAGTTACTTTAATTAATTTCTATTCAAGTGTTACATTCATTTAAATTGACATTTGACTTCATATATGTAATGAGTATGGTATGTTCTTTAACATATATTAAATTAAGAATATTTGAATGAGTTTAGAAAACTTTATTTAATTATTTTCTTGTATGAAATTCAATTCACCTAGTTGTACCTAGAGTAGAATTAACTTGCAACTTGATTTTAAATAATGCTTTGACATTTTCTTTAATATATATTAAATTGAGAATATTTGAATGAGTTTTGAGAAATTTATTTAATTATTTTCTTGGCAATGATCTTAATTTTCCTTGTTGTAACTAAGGTAGAATTGGTTTGTAATTTGAAATTAAATTAGGCCTTGCTATAGCCTGTGATATATATTATATTTAGAATTCTTGAAGTTGCTTTGTAATCTTGAAAATTTAATTATTTAATTTAATTAAATTCCATTTGTATGCTTTCATTGAGGTAATTAAGTATTGATGTTATATTTTTGCTTAATTTATAATTTGCAACTTGGTGTATGATTACAAGATGATATTCAATGAGTAAAAGTTATGATTTAATTTCTTGTATACACATTATACTTATATGACATTTAATATGCCATTGTAGCTTGAAGGCCTAGAGCATATTTTGTGTGTATTCCATGACGTGGTTGTGCATGGTAATTGACAATGTGCATTGTGTATATGTGATATACTTGTTGCACATTTTGATGATTTTTGGAAAGCTTGTATGGACATTGTAATATGTTAAGGCTAGAATATGTCTCTAGTACGGGGGATGAGAGTTCCATCTACAATATATAGTGCACACTAGGTAGTTCCTTGCAGGCTAATAACCCAAGATCACTTTTTTGGTCATTGAGACCATATGTCCTTTGTCTTTCCGCCATTGGCTGATTTCGCATTCAATTCCTAGTTGTAATTATGGTATACTTTTAACTTATACTTAGGTGCATGATACTTCATTTCTTGCTTAGTATATGTGGATTTGTATACTTGTATGCCTTATCTATCAAAAATGCTTAGTATACTTGGATTTGTATACTTGTATGCCATGTATGTCAATATGGCTTAGTATACTTAGAAATGTATACTTGAATCTATATGTTGCATTTCCATTTCAATATTGCTTAGCATACTTGGTGTGTACAGTTTTATATTGATGATTTACTTTCGAGATAACCTAGTATACTTGTGTCTTGTATACTTGTCTTAATTGCATTCCAATATTGATTGTATACTTGTGTACATATACTTGTATATCGAATATCTTGCTGCATGTACCGCATGCTTCTATATTGTTTAAATTGCATGAATGATGTGGTTTATGTTAGAAATACTCTAAGATAGCTTTGGATGTTCCTTGAGTCTCATCTTGAAATAGACGTTAGGTGGTATGAGTCCCTTTGACTTGTTTCACCTTAAGGTGATAATTTTGTAAAATGTTAGGTCAATGCATGCTCATTTCTTATGAGTAGCTTTATGTTACTCACTCCGAAGTTATTGGGGATTTGTTTCAGGTATGAAGACTTGGTTCGTGATGCTCATCATACTTTGGATGACTCGTAGCTTTTAAGTTTCCATTTCATGCAAATGTTAACATGAAATGTCATTTTGTAGCCTTATATGTCTAAACTTGTATCTTCGATTCCATATATGTAATTTGTACGTAAGTACACCTTTTACGATGTATTTGACTTGTGTGAGATGAGGTTGGAGGCCAATGACATTTATATTGCATCTTATGTTATTCTTGATTTCATGAAATGTTATGAAAAAATTGAAAAATGACAAGTCATTGCTTCACCATGTTTGCATCGGGTGTATGAATTCCATTTTTATTCTTTCATAAGGTCTCATTAATCATGTTTGAAGTGTGGCCAAGTGCCAAATGGTAATTTGACTCCATTTTATATTTTTGGATTTCAAATTTCGATTCTAAGTTCACTTTTCTCATTTTTAGCCGTTGGGGGGTCGAATTTTGAGTCGGGCCTTCTCGGGAGCCGCAGACCATTCCCGCGTGCTTGGAATCACTATTTACACTTGTGTGCACATTCGTTTCAACCTAAAAATGCATTTAGGGCCAAATGCATACTTGGTGCAAAGTTGCATTTTCTGAGTTTTTGACCCTTTACTGATCTAGGGGCATTTTACAGTGTGTTTTTTTCATTTTCTCCCGCGCTGCCGGGTAGAAAACTCGATTTCGGGAGGTTTTTTTTTCGTGTTTTTCCAGAAAAATTCATTTGATAGCCCCTTTTTGCTCTCAATTGTGGACAGATTCTGAAAAAAATCTATGTAACAGCTTTTTGGACTCTTTTGACCTATACTGATCTAGGGGGATTTTAGGGATTTTACATTGTGTTTTTTTTGTTTTCTTCCATGTAGCTAGGTAGAAAATGTGATTTTAAGGTGGGTTTCTTCTTCGTGTTTTTTCAGAAAAATTCATTTAAGGGTCCGTTTTTAGCCTCAGTTCTGGAAAGAAAATCAAAATATGCTTTCTGTCAAAACACTGTTCTTACCCAGATTTCTTACCCGAAAAAGTTGGTTTTTTTTTAAACTTTGATGTTTCATATCTTCTTCGTCCCGACTTCTAATTAAGTAATTTTTGAGTCTAAGTTTATTAAATTTTCCTTGTCTATCCAATGGTATAAATGGTTGCATCCAGTTTTGTCTAAAAAGACCATTTTACCCCTTGTCAAGTACCCTTGCCGCACTGATTTTAAACCCAAAAGTTGATTTTTTTTTAAACTTTAACGTTTCATATTTTCTTCATCTGGACTCCGAATCAAGTGATTCTTGAGTCTAGATTTATTAATTGTTCCTTGTCTATCTAATGGTATGCTCAATTGCATCTAGTTTTGTCTGAAAATACCATCTTACCCCTTGTAAAGTACCCTTGCCGCACTGATTTCAAACCCAAAAGTTTGATTTTATGAAACTTTGGAGTTCCATATCGTCTTCATCCAGACTCCAAATCAAGTGATTCTTGGGTCTAACTTCATTAATTTTTTACTATCTTTCCAGTGGTGTGCTCTGTAGCACCCGATTTTATTTTTCTAGAAATCACCATTTTGCCCTTGGGGCTAAATTTGTCCGGTTTTCTTTTAATTTGTTTCCACTACTTTCTTTTGAGTCCCGTGACTTCATGGGAAGTCATGTATGTGCCTTAGAAATGATGTACATTCCCAAGGATGTTGCTTCCATGCGAAAAGACTATTTTGCCCTTGGGGGCCTGTTTAGTCTTTTTTCTGATCATTCATTTCCGTATTATTCTTGTTGAGATCTGTGGCCTCATGGAACGTTACTCTGGCTTCTTAGAGATGCATTGCATCTCTAGAGTTATGTTTTTTGTTTCTGCTTCCGTATTTGGATC